CAATTCTGCCTTTCTTTCTGATGTCACAGTGCTCACCGAGTCAGGTTTGTGCTGTCAGGTGGTCTAAATTTTTTTTCCTTCTTGCTTAATATGTTCAGCTGCTCACATCTCAGATATGTGCAGTCTCTTTCCCTGCTGTAAATGTTAGGTACAAGAGCTTGAGCTAGAAAGGTTGCCAGTACTTCTATTTAAGAATTCGATCTTATAACTTTGAAGCACAGCTATTGATTTTAATTTTTTTTAATAAAACATATTTTCAAAAAAGATGAAAAGCAGATGGAGCAAAATTTTTCAGCAATAGAGAGAATAGCTCTTGACTGGCACACAAATACTGACATTGAGATGAATCCATATAGCAAAATATGCTCTATATCTTATATTCAGATATATCTGAAGTAGGAATTGCAAAGTAATCCAGCATTTCATAAGATTCTCAGTAGAAATGTGACACTAAGTAATATAGAGATAAGTGAATGTCTTCATAACCCTTTATTTTATTTAATAGTGAATATTTATAATATTATGAATGTGCTTTATGGTTTGTTACTTTTAATGTACCTCTGTTATAAATCACACCTCTGTCCATCTATCAGCAATTTTGTGGATCTTCATGTTCTGCTGATGACAGAAAATATCCAATGACTTCTTTGGTTTAAATTAGTGCCCCTCTCAGGAAGATTTGATGATACTATTTTTTACAGGAATATGTAGGAGATGACAAGACTGTGTTTTTCACAGATCTATAAATATTACAGGAAGGAAGGGACATTTTAATAATCTACTCTGACATCTTATGTGTTTTGGAGCATAGATTTCATCTGACTACTCCTTCATTTTGGACCAATAATTTCTGACTGAACTAGAACATGCTTTTCTCTTTTCCTGAAATGCATCAGTCTTGATTGAAAGTCTTTGCAGTGGTAAATACAAAGGTTACCATTGTACATTTTAACTCAATTATATTTGACGTTATTTTATAACAGTGGTAATATTCCAGGGGAATATTGCACTTTTTGTTTGCCCTGTGTTGGCTTTAGCCCTTTCATTTCTGGTATATCTGTCTGCTATATGAAACACCCTGTAGTGCCATGTGTTTGTCACATAAGCTATTACTGACTGATTAGCTTGGTGAGTGACTGAACTGTCATTGGTGCTTCTGGATGCCTTTAACTCTGCTATGCAGCATCCTGACTTTTTCCTGTTATTTGGTAGATCTGTTTTACAGTACACAGAGATGGGAAATGTTCTCTTGGCATGCTCCCTCTAATTCTTTATAGGTTTTGATTATAACCTTGCCAACTAAAAACAATATTGTTGTGTTTATGAAAGCTGGTGTGCAATTTAAAATGACAATATACAACATCAGCTACTCCCTGTGCATTCTGTTTAGAAAGCTGGAGTCTTGGAGTTATAAACTTGTGATGCCTAAGCAGGCCACACAAATTGTTCTGGCTTCCTCTCATCACTAAGGCTTTCTCAGCAGTCAGCAAGGATGGGGGTGCAGCATCCAGGCATCGTTCTGGCTATTCTGCTTCTGTGACTAAAAAGTGTATAGTCATGTTGACTCCTCTGGGTTTTTGACAGAATCACTGCTAGTCACAGAGGAAAACTCTGCCCACAAATACCTGGCTTTATATGAAAGAGAATATTGACCTTGATTTGGTAAGAGGTTACAGGAAAGTAGTTATGCTTAGCTTTGTTATTTGTGGGATTTGGTATTTGATAACATTTGGAACAAAAAGTAACACAGAAAAGTTCTTGATATGACTCGAGAAACTGAAAAGAATTCCCATCTGTCTTGCTATGTATTTGTTTTAAATAGAACAGCCCCTTATCTTAGCATTTTCCACAACCATTATTGCAAACTTGTGCTCTTAGTTATTTACTTTTTCCAGCAAAGTGCAATAGCTGCTTCAAAGGCTATCTGCTCTTCCAAAAGAAACTATTTATCAAAAAATTATCAGCTTAGGAGACAAGGGAAATTGTTTGTACTTTACTGGTGCCAAAGGGCTGATCTAATAAAAACAACTCTTGTAAGTCACCTCCATTGCATTATACAGCTACTAAGAAGGCAATGGTCGTGACTGCAAATGAATACTAGTGATATTTCACTCTTCTTCCAGGAAAATAAATGTTCTGTGGATTGCTGATTAGGACTTTGCTTCTGTATATAAATGATATGCCAGCACTACAATTACTTTTATTGGAATCTTATACCTCTTATTAAAAAAAAAAAGAAAGAAAAAATACTTCAGTCTAGCACACACTTAAACATAGGATCTGCTCCTGTGATCAGCTTCACTAAGGTTCTGCCAGAGGCCAAGCATCAATATAGCTTGATTTCAAAATCAGTGACCTGAAGCTTAGATGTCCAAAGTATAGGTTGGTGTTAATTTCAGCATTGTCCAAACAGTGTCATTACTATGTAAAGAAGCCAGAAATAACTCTGAAAAACCTGTTTGTCATGTGTAGAAGCACCGATGTATACTTTTAGATAAAGTTGATATTTCTCAACAAGAAGAAATGTTATAAACTTAAACTGTGTGTGTCTTTTGCTTTCTTCAAGCAAAAATGTTCTGTGGCCAGACACTGATTCTAAGGAGAGCACCTGGCAGGAGCGTGGTTAACCTTTCCCTGGCCATCTCTGCAGCTCCTCCAGGCTGCTGGGAGGGAGGAGTGGCAGTTACCAGCCACGCCTCACTAATTCACGCTTTGCTTATGGGCTACACCAGCATTTGTGTAGCACTTACCAGGATACAGTACTTTTGGGAAGTGGTGTGCTGCAGCTTTCAGACCAGCTCCATGTATTGGGTTTTACGGGGGAAATTTTCTCTCAGCTGTCAGCTGACTAGAGTATATGGTGGTTTTTTGTTTTTATTTTTTTCCCCTCCCAGTCTGTTGCTCATGTTACCAGCTGTTTACTTGCTTTTCTTGTTTTGATTCAGAAACATAAATTTTTTTGATTCAGAAACATACTTTTATGCCTTGAAAATCTTTTGAGTACAATTATTTGGCCAGTTCCCACATTAGACAGCTTTGTCCCAAAAGGAAAGTACTTGTAATTCAAACCACCAGTGATGGGAACAATGTGCCCAACAAACTGATGCTGGTTCTTGCAGGAAAGGTGAAGGAACTTGTTTAAAAATGTGAGTTTGCACAGACCATGTCTCATAAATTATTCTTTCTTGCTCCCTTGTTTTAATTTCATTTCCACGTTTATACTTTTATGTTTGGTTCTCTGTTAATAAGTATGCAATTAGTGTTTGATATGAGTTCCAGTGTAAATAATTTGCAGTAGATGTGGTAATGAATATTTTTAAAACTGGTGCATATATAGTAGGATAGCAGATATTGAATTCCTGTTCAGCTAGACTCCTGATGAGAAAATTTAGCTGTGACTTGGTCATCTTGTTCAGCAATGCCTCTGGATTTAGATGTAGTCTATTGATTTATTTAAAGTAGTGAAATAAAACAGAAAAAAACCTCTTTTTTTTTTTTATTCAGTGATACTTATTCTTAATGATGATCTTTCAACACTATAGTGAAAAAAATGAGCTTTTTTGAGTATGTATTTATATTCATTATTATTGTTGTAACATTTTATAAAGTAGGATGGACAGTTTTCCCAGAGGAGTAAGGCCACTAGAGATGTCAAGACCTGAACTATAGAACATAATCTTAAAGGATGCAGAAAATGGGGTGGATTAGTGAAGTTACAGTGGGCTGAAGATAATAAACTCTTTCAGAAAGCTTTTATGTTAATAGATTATTGAATTTCATCTGCTATTTTATCACTGCATAGATTAATGCAAAGTAATATATATGAATAGATGAAAAAGGTTCTCTTTCTACATTAAATGAATTCTATATGTGAATATTGAGCTATCTATTATCACTCAGAAAAAAAGTTATAGCAGCTATTCTGTTTAAAATATCAGAATAGTAGTTGTTGAAAGAGAAAATAAAATCTTAAATGGGAACAGAGAATAAAATGGAAATAATATTGCTACTGTACAGATTCATGGTTCACTTGCATCTTGAATACAATATGCTACTCTTTGTGTTGTAGCTCAGATGGCTCTAGGAGAATAGAAAAGACACATTAAAGGCAGAGAGCAAGGATTTCTTAGGTTGGAAAAGGCTCAGTGGGAGAAAGGAAGGAAACAACATAGACCATTACATTTTGAGTGGGGTCAAGCATGTGAATAGGGTACAATTGTTCATCCCTTCATCCAATACCAGACCTAAGGACATAGATGAAACGAAGAGGTAGGCTCAGGACAAAAACAGTTGAGATGTCTTGTGTATGTGTGGAAATCATTCCTTCAGCATCTTCTAGATGCTGCAAGTTTATGTGAGTTTATGTGCGGTAACTCCTGGGACAAACATGAACCCAAAGGCACAACCTCTGACTAAGAGTGTCCCTGAGATGCAAGTCACTGAAGGTGGTGTAAAGCTGTGTGGAGTATCTGTAGGGATTTAAATTCTTTCCTGCATATCCACTGTAGGCCACTGTGAAGAGACAGGGTACTGACTAGGAATGAGAGAGGAAGAGGCTTACAGATAAACTTATTTAAATTTATGCCTTAATTTTTCTTGATCTAGAACACTTTTCTGATGTCTAATTTCAGAAGTATGTTGTAAGACAATGGCAAAGTAAACAAGCAAGTCAAACCAAAATAATACTTTTAAACAAAACCCCTTAACATTGGCTTGGATACATTTTGTTTGAAGGACAATTTAAATTATTTGCTACTGAATTAGAAAAAATAGAAATCCTATGATTGCCTTGGGGAAGAAAGCAAATCAATGATATAGAATAGTCAGAATTCAAGTTTTTATGAATACAAAGAATGTGACAAGAAATGTGAAAAGAGACTTTACTGTTTTCCCTACTTCTAATTTTCTTTCCATCCAGAAAGATTCTGTTGGCATGTCTATGATGCATGTTCTGATGTGTTGTCTCCAGTTTATTACAGCACTGTTTTTTCCTCTTGTAGGTTAACAGAACCTTCTGGATATTTAACAGATGGACCCATAAATTATAAATATAAAACTAAATGTACATGGTTAATTGAAGGATAGTAAGTATTTATTTATATAATTTAGATTTTTCTGACAATTTGGTACTGTGTATTCTAGAGGTTGAAAGAACTCCTGAAGTAGAAACTGCATGTGGATACAATATAAACAGTTTTGGTCTTCAGTTTGTTTGTTTTGTTCTTGTTTAAATGTTATAAAGAATTAAAAAAAAAAAATAAAAGAAGTAGGATTTTCAGGATTCCTCAGAGTTGGCCAAATTCCATTCCCATTCAAATTGCTGGCAAAAGTTAGGCTGACGTTGGAATTTGGCCAGTGCTGCAAGCTCTCAAAACCCAATGATAAATTTGTTGCATGTTTGATTACCTTTACAGAAGTTCTACATGTAGTTACAGAATCCCATTATTTCACTCATTATCTTACTAATCTTATTTAACTCATATCAGTGATAAATCAGGAATGGTCTCAAGTACAGAACACTTATTCAGTTACATGTTGCTCAAAAGTTAGTGCTTCTATAAAGTATTTTCTTTGGCATTCTAGTATTCCTCATGTACTTAATTTCAAAACAATTTTGTGCCCACAGTTTAGATGTCTCATCTGTTTCTAATTTTTCAGTTTGTGCAGCACAGAAACACACAGACATGCCCAAAGAAATAATGAGACACGTGCATTAGTACGGCTAACTGTTAAAAGCACAAATTGGTTGCATCTCAGTGGGACTCTTCCCCCTCTGGATATGGGTCAGGATTTTGCTGACTCTAGTTCTGAGTTCTGCTAACATTCTGGAAGAAAATTAACCTGTTCTGTATTTCTGTGTTGTCATAATCTCAATTACCATAGATATCTGCTCTGTAGCAGATATCTAAGGTAAAAGTAAAGTAAAAAACAAAGGTAAAAGTTCAGTAAAGGTATCAGAAAAGGTAAAAGTATAGTATCTGGTCTAATTTTGTTCTGCTCATATGCAGATAATAATTTAAACACAGTGAAGTTATGGATAATTTGCAAAATTATTTAAATAGAAGCTTCAGTATCTAGGTGACCAGGCTGTAGCTGAATATCTTTCTGCCCTAGCTAGACCTCTTTTTACCCAAGCTGGCTCAGGAATGTTTGCACTGCACTACACTGTGCTAAAGTGGAAACATGCCTCAGGAGCACAGGCAAACTCTGCTTTGGAGCTGTTTTTCACTCCGTTCCTCCTCTTCACCAGAGATGGAGTGGGCAGCTGGAGGACACAGTGTGTTGCACAGTATGTGAGAGAGTAAAGCAACCCAGTAACACAGTGCAAAATGTCAACATACAAGGAGGTCACATATATAAAATACTCTGTCTTAAAAAATGAACAGAGAGTTCTCTCAAAGGACCTGTCACAAAAAACCCACGTTTTCCAAACTGACAAATTGCACTCAAGCCTGTCAGACGCGGGGAGACATAAAAGAAAATAATCATTATGTTTCATGGAATATGTATCAGTAATTTTGCAATACATGAGAAGTCTCCTTTCAGAAAGTTTACAGATCTATCTGGATCTCAGCCAAAAATTAGTGAAATTTGACTCCCAGGTGTTGGGAGAGGGTGGGGGCAGGCACTTGCACTAATATTGCTTGCTATTTTAGATTTGTGTTTTAAGATTTTCAATAACTAGTGGAATACTGGAATGAGGATGTGTAGGTGATTTTTTTTTTTTTTCTTGAAAGATTCTTTAAACTTCATAGTCCTGACATTGTAAACTAAAGCTAGTATATTAAAATAAGATATTTTGATTGCTCTAAATTTGTGGTTCTGAATACTAATAAAATCTGATAAATTTAAGTTTCTTATTAATTTTAGGGATTATTAGACTTGGATTGAATATGTTATTTTTGGGTTTTTTTAAGATAAAGTAAAATATTTGCTTGCTCTGACTTTTGTTATTTAACACCTTGAAATGTTATTCAAGGTTTTTTTGAATATTTTGGTTATTATTATTACTCAAAATGTTTTAATAGAGTTATGCTGGCATGATCAATTTTACTGTAAGTTCTTTCTCTTATGAGCTCAATAATTCTGTAAATAATGTTTTACATAGATGTTCTAATTTTTTTCAGCCCAAATGCGATACTAAGATTAAGATTTAATCACTTTGCCACAGAATGTAGTTGGGACCATATGTATGTATATGATGGAGATTCGATATATGCACCTTTAATAGCTGTATTTAGGTGAGTGTATTTATGAATCTTTTAGTCCAAGTATGAACATTTTTAGTTACTGGGGAAAAAATAACATTAGAGGCTCTAATATGTTAACTAGCTTGCTTTCTTTTATTAATAATATGGGAATATGTATGTAAAGTTATATTAGGATGAATTCCAAAGCCTTACATCTTTGGTTAGGTGATCAGAGCGTAAATCTATTTTGTGACTTGTACTTACTGCTAACACTGGAGTGTTAATGCTTAAACACTGACATTTTTCCTGGAAACTCCTACCTTACCATGGACAAGTTTTATACACATTTTTTGATTTGTTTTTTTAAAAAGAAGTTCTCAAATTATATTTAGGCACCATCTTGCTTATATAGTTAACCACCAGAATAGCTAATTCCCTCCTTCCTTCCCGCCCCCCCCTTCTCTCCCAAGGATTACTTATAAGCATTTTTCCCATTTTCTTTTCCAGTGGTCTAATAGTCCCTGAAGTGCGTGGAAATGAAACTGTTCCTGAAGTAGTTACTACATCTGGCTATGCATTGCTCCACTTTTTTAGTGATGCTGCTTATAACCTAACGGGATTTAACATTTTTTATTCGTAAGTATTTTTTTAATATGTAATGACTTTTGTTTTTTTCAATGGCATAATGGTTATACTTAGTGGTGTGTTCCTAAAACCAAGGAGCCAGGGTTGTAGTAAGTTATTAAGGTACAAATTAGGAGGAAAAAAATCTCAGAGATAGAGTATATTGTTTTGAGTGAAGCCACATGGCCATTCCAAGAGTATGTTTTTCTTATGCCATATGGAACTAAAATGTATCTCTTCCAGTGTTTATCTAACACATGTAGTTGTCATATGGAATAGAAGGGAGATTATATCTGCTGTCATGTCAATTCCCTTCTCTTGAACTAGGATCGGGATTTTTCTTGCTGAATATACTTCTGTGGCTTATGAAACCTCCACTGAAATTCTACTTTGGCTTTTGTGCCAGCCACAAAGATTTTATTCCATTTCTTCTCTACTTCTCAGGTACTTTCCCTTCCTATTTTCCATCTCAGTTTGCATTCTGCCTTCACAGTTCTTGTCTGCTCTGTCCGTCTTTTAGTTCCTCTGATGGCAGAGTCTAATCTGATATAACTATGCTTTATTCCAGTCTCCTTTTCTGTGTCAGCAGTTCTGAAGATGCATCCAATGGATCTGAGCCTCTTCCTTCTTTATGTAGCTGCTGTTGATCTCAATTGCTGTCTCTTTTGGGACATGCTTGTGACACATAATGCAACGCTCTTCATACTGGATGCTTTAGGTCAAGAGGGGATTGCTTGGTCCTCTTGGACCTGTTTCTTTATGTGGTAGTTTTTCCATGATTGAAGATATACCTGTTCCTTTCTCTCAATTCTTTCAGATTCTGAAATACCAGTTACTGGGATGTGGTGGCCAGCACTGCATTTCTTATGTGGAAGTACATGTAATATTTTTTTCATATTCTTTATTAATTTAAAATTCCTATTTGTGCTTCTGACCATAGCTTTGCTCTTGGCAGAGGTACTTGTTAAATTGTCTATGGAAAGATTGTTCCTGTAATTTGCAGCTTGCCTACCTTTGACCAGATAATAAATGGCTATTCAGAGTTTAGGAAACCTCACTAAATATATTGCATTGGAAACGGCAGTCTAGAAGACTGAGTATTTTTAATTTTTGTCTGTTGACATCAGTAAAATGCAATCACCTGGCAGGCTTCTCTACTGTAATTAGATACATTTTTCAGTTATCCCTGAAGCTTTTATTGCACTTTTTTTTATTTGTCTTGGGAGCAAATGGCAATATGACATGGCATTCTTAAGGAATGAGAGTATGTGCTCTGCATTCTTTCATTACTTGGTAATGTGGTGCATGCTGCATATCATTGCCTAATTTTTGGGAAGATTTAAAATAAATGAAAAACCTGCCAGTGTTTAATTCCATTACATATATAACTCATGAAATTTTATGTACTCTGATCTTGTGTTTCTTCTATTGCAATGGATACTTTTAAAATATATATATTTTAATAAGCCAACAGTAATGATTTTTATGATAAAGAAGTACCTACAATTACTTTTTATGGCTGCATTAATTTTGTTTCTGTTACTGATCTATTACACTCTGCTTCTGTCACCCTTTTCCTTCGTTGATTTTCCACTTCATCTTGATGGACTACTCTTATTCCTTTATTTTGGGAAAGACAGAAGCACAAAATCTGTGATTTAAGGTGCCGTGCCAGCTGCAAACAACAGTAGTTACTTCAGAACAGCCTGAGTAAATTTTGTGTTCCTTGGAGTCAGGCGTCTTGCTTCCAATTCTGCTGATCCAGTTTTTCTCATTTCATTTGAATCCTTAATGAACCTCTTGGAGTGGAAATTTGTCTACTTTCAGAGTGCTGGAAAAACTGAACTGTTCATCTCCCTGCAGAACAGTTTCCCTGTGAAGTGGGGGAGAGGTTCCTCACAGCTGTAACATGCAGCAGTTAATGCCATAAATGGCTTTAATGCCATGTGTGTTACCAGGCAAAAGCCCAGGATGTTTGCAGTTCAGATGTGGGATTTTCTATTTTAGTAGTGTAACAGAATCAGTCTTTTGAGATATGAGTGTCTAGAAAACAAAAACATATCTGCTGACAGTCCTACCACTACTACATTTTGTCAAAGACCAGCCTCAAACAATTGTTTGCTAACTTTTCACAGTCCTTTCTTCATTCAGAAAGAGCAAGGAAGGCTATGACCAGTATCCATCTCACATCTACAGGGAGTTCTTTGTGTTATCATCAGCAGTTTTTAACAATTTATTCTGAGTTTCAACCCAACCCTTTGCTATGAGTCATCAAAAAAGGTTTCAAATCCTTTTTGGACTTCAGCAGGCACATACCACCTGGGACTCTGTTCATGGAATCTCTTGGACTCACATACTTCCAACATCCTCCATCTCCCGTCATCTCCAAGGAGTTGCTTGCATTTCTGGAACCACTTTGCTTAATTTTGCAGTCCGATTGCCTGTGATCTCAGTGTTTGGTAGGGTGTATCACAGAAACACTAATTCCCATAACAGTCACAGACTTCTTTCAGCCTAAGCTTTCTTGGTTTTGCAACTCTGACTGCAGACTTAAGGAGGCAGAGTTAAGGTGGCTCTATTATTAATGCTTCAAAGCATGAAGTGCGACCTGTAGGTAGTTTTGGGATATTAGCCTTGCATCTTGTATTTTTCCTTACATTGTTTTTCCTGTTTTATTCCCCTCAGATGTTAGACATCTGTTTTATAGCATGGAACAACAGAAAACACCTTTAAATGTAAGCCTGTGGTGGAGAGTTTAAGCTCAGTCACTTCCAGTGGGCTTGTTCCTAGAGATAATAAGCATTTGAAAGGACTGATTAGAGTGCTGATACTGGAACAGAGGAAAAAAAATAGGTGGTGATCTGCCCAGGCAGGGCCTGTCCTCCTGCTTAATGTCAGTACTTGTTACAGTGCAAGATATTTGTGACCCTGGCTGCATCACAGACTCTGTATGTAAGCCTGGATAAACACTTTTGAACTCATTTGCCTGTAAAATCACCATTAGACTTGTGTTTTATCAGAAAATAGAAATTTTTCATGGTAAAAAGTACTTTATCTAGCAAATGTTGTTGGAGTACTGTCAGATAAAACCACTGTCATCTGGACTCCTCATTCCTTTTATTTTACTTTTTCTTTTTTTCTCCCCAGAATTAATTCCTGTCCTAATAACTGCTCAGAACATGGGAAGTGTACAACCAGTGTGTCTGTACCAAGCCGGGTATACTGTGAGTGTGACAAGTATTGGAAAGGAGAAGCCTGTGATATTCCATACTGTAAAGCCAACTGTGGCAGTCCAGATCATGGGTACTGTGATTTGACAGGAGAGAAGCTGTGTGTTTGCAATGATAGCTGGCAAGGTAAGGTTTTGTTATGTGGAATCAAGTCAATCTATTAAAAAATCTGCTTTTAATGCATCCTACGTAGCATACACATTGGCCTCTCTAAAGAATGAACACAGATGAAATACTAGTTTCTGGAATAAATTTTCGTGTGGATATAGGTATGGGTAATTTAATGCCATAAAAGGCTCACAGCTTTGATATTTTCTGTCTGAAGGTACAGCAGAAATATGTGACCTGGACTTTCTTGTGTTGGGCATTTTTCTTTTTGGATCATTAATTTGAAAAAAATAATGACAGTAATTACTGGAGAGTTGTGAACACTTCTGAAGACTAAATTCCTCCACAACCTAATTTTCTATTCTGTTTTTAAATGTCTAGATAGGTTTGATTTTATTCCTCCATCTTTTAATGTCATATCATCTCATCACATTTTTAGTGCTTCCTGAAGTGAGTATCCACTGTCTGGTTTTTGGTTGGGTATTATTTGTATGAACCTCTCAATGAAAAAGGAGGGTAAACTGCTTTTTTATGACAGTACAAGAGTTATGTGTGGACATGTACTGTGGACTAATGGATGTACTTTAAGCATATGCTGTAGTTTACTCCCAGTTCCATAAATAATTGTTTCTCATTACAGATAAATTATTTAAGATCCTAAATGTTTAATTCACTGACTATAATTATGCTAGATGTTTGTGAATTTTGTTTTTATCCTTTACCACTTCTCTTACAAGTCTCAATTGGATTAGCTTGCTATGAATTGAAATTTCCATTCTTCTCTTAACAGAAACACTAAAATACCTCCAGATTACTTATCTGATATGTCCTCTTCCTATGACTTCCTGCCTCTACTTCTGTTTTATTGCTGTTTCTTTTTGCCTGTCAAAGGAAATGACTTTTTTACTACTATTAGCTGTCACACCTATTACTCCAAAGACACGATAAGATTTAATACATTTCTCTTCTTAATGATTAATGAGTTGTTCATTAAAAGGCAGTCAGTGCACCCACAGAAGGGAAGTGGTTTAGCTATATGGTCACTGAATGGAAATAGTGTAGACTTGTTACTGAGTCCTTTAGAACGCACCAGGATTGTAATGCACAGAAAGATCCTGAAAGCTTGATCTCTGTAAGGAAGTTCTGAATAGAATTTGTAGCAAGAATATCATCCTTTTAACTGTGCATGGATTCCTTGCAATTTCTGATCCCTGTGTTCAAAATGGGGAAATGTCACAAATCTTTGGAAATTATTTTTAGTCTATGCCTTCAGTTACAGTGCTAAAAACTTCCTTAGAAGCTTTGAGCACTAAATAAAATTAAAAGTCTAACTTCCTCTGTTAGTACCTTCCTTTCACTTAGCATTTCTGTACCTACTGGCTTCTCAATCTTTCCTACAGTGCACAGGATGATACAATTTCCTTCATTGTTCCTTGGATTTTCACTGAACCTATATAGATTTAAATTATTTTTCTTTTTTAATTCTGTCACAGATGAACCGGCTTGGCTACGTAATTGTATTTCCTTACTAAATAAAAAATAATACCAGACTTTCCTTGAGCTCTCTGGGAGACTACTTGCTTCTCAAGTCTATTTCTTTATTTATTTGCATTTACATTTTCTATAGTTTCTACACTGATAGTATCTTCTGTGTAAGTCATTTGCACTGCTGGAATCATAAATTTCTCTACTTATTTTAATGGTCTTGCTGTCTGACAAGTTTTTCCTTGTTTCGTAATTCAAACTCAGTGCCTAGAGGGTCTTGTTTTCTCTGATTTTGAAAACGGTTTTATGTTTTGTTTTTTATTCCCATTTTTTTGTTGAATATGTTTAGTGCCTATATTATATAACAACAAATCATTGAACTGAATTGATTGGGAAGTATAATAATTAAAAGCTATGGTTCAGAACATAAACTCTGGAATTTCCTTTTACAACGTGGGGTTTCTTTCTTTTACAATGGTGACATCTTGTGGATATTGTGGAAGGAGCAGCTCTGAAGAACATTTCAAGTTAAAAAACATGTTTAAAGTATTCTGAGAAAAGAAAACACTGTATTTTGGGGGATAGAAAAATTATTTGAGTGAAAAGTAGAATCCTCTGATTATAAGATGAATTTTGTGGAATGTAATACAAGGATCTTGTAGATACTTGCAGCTGGCTGTTAGTCATAGCAATATAGAATAAAGCCATGACAATAAGAACTTTTAGATTTGGAAAGCAAATAATTTATGTAATTTTTTTTTATTTTTATCAGGCATTGCATTTAGCAAAAAATGTACTTGTTAAATGTAGTGGGTCTTTTTAAATGAAAGCAGTTTTTAAATAATGCTAGTAATGTTAAATGTTTCTGAGATGGTTGGTCTCATATAGGAAGAAAATTTAATATTTATGTGAAATCTGTTTAATTTAAACTATTCAGGCAATGTAAGGGAGGCTGAAGTTTTTGCTAAAGAGTGATTCCTTTATGATTATTACATCTTATTACACTGTCCCATTACTGGCTAATTTATCTGTATTATATAGCAGAATGTGTTGATGCCTGCAGTTACAGGCTTGGATGTAATTCAGGGAGGAAAAAAACATACCTTTTAACTGCTCACTTGATCTATTTTTCTTTGCTAGGCGCAGGTAAAAGAGAAATGAGGACTCCACCGAGACAAAAGTGGTGGCTCTTGCACTAGTTGACCTATTTAAAAAGTTTATAGAACGATGCTTCTGCTGAATGTATTCACAGCCAGCAAATTCTCTTTGATACTGGGAACACTGTGTCTTAGGTTGTCTAGGCTGTAAAGGAGCACAGAGATTTCCAAACAGTTAAAACTTCTGTAACAGGTGTAAAAATTCGGAATAACTGAAAGGATTGTGAACAGTTCCACATTTTTTAGAGAGTTAAATGGACTATCTTTGAACATGCTGAAAATGTTACCAACTACTGGGTGTAAAAAGGAAAAAAATAGAGTTCAAAGCTCTCTTAAATTTAAGAGAAACTTTCTTGATACTTTGGTCGCTGAACATCAGTACTGCAAGAAAAAGGGGAGTCTGCTTTGGAGGAGTTACAGGGTGTGTTTACAGAGCATGAGTAGGGTACCTTCAAAGCAAATCTGATCCTTTTTGTGTATTGTGTGTTGGATTGCATTGTGAGATTACTTGAAAACAGAGGAACTGCCTTCCTTTTAGAAGAAACTGCCCCAGAAGATGAGCTCTAGGGTTGCACAGAATGCACACCACCCACAAATGGTCATTCGGCCCTACTACAAAGTTAAAACACCGATAACAATTCTGGAACACGTATAGTTAGTTGATTCTCCCTACAGATCTGCTCCTAGCAGATAGAGATGTAGCAGGCCAGATTCTGAAATTAAACTAATTAACTTTGAAATAAGTCCATTAGCAATTCAGGCAGCTTGAGTTTTATAACATCTCTCTGGGGAAAAATGAGCCTTTATGTAAGGAGAAGAGTAAACAATGAAAGTATAAAAGGAGCTATGACTACTGCAGTGTAAAATCAGTATTTTGCCTTGCTTATTACTGTAGCATTTATTCTAACAACTTTTTTGTATAGCCAGAATTGCTATGTCAATGTGTGTCAATGTACAACTTAGGTTATCCTGAAAGGACTAACTAGAGTTGAGTTTGTTCCCCTTGCATTAGTGGAAAACTTTGAAGTCATACTCCCTTGTTTGGCCTGCCTTATTCCTCAGTGCTGAGATTTAGCAAAGCTGTGCTTCTGTGGTGCTGGTTTATCTGATTTATTGAAACCAATGGAGAAGGTTTGAGATGGGAGCTCAGGCAGCTGCAGTTGAAATGTAGCACTGGAAAGAGCTTGTGCCAAATGCTTAGAGGTCTGAAATCTGAGTTTTTGGCCTGTTGTACCTGGATGTTCTTGGCCAGAAAGCAAACAAGTGTCTAGTTTCAGAAAAGAGGACCTATGGTGTAACGTTTGCTTCAGATAGACCTGTTTTTGGAAGGAAAAAGACAGTAGAGGCAGGTGTCTGATAACTGTTCTGCCCCATGGTAATGCCCTCTTTGTCTCAGTTTTACTTTTCAGGATGTCTCTTGGCCAACTACCAATTCAGTCAAGAGAAACTGCAGTTTTACAGTCTGGGAGATGTCCTCATATATATGTGCATCTATACTATATATGCATAAAAGCACAAACCCCAGGAGTCCTTTCCTCCCACAATTTTAAGTTAAAATCCAATTTATGCACTCCATATTTGTAGACTTTTTTTATGTTTATCACAGAAATGAGAGTTGTCTAAGGAGATTTCGCATATATAGAACTGGTAGGAAGGAACAGTCTTATAATGCATGATTATTTCATATGTACTAGAAATGTTCTTCTGTTTTATTTTCATATGGAATTTAACAATTTGTAAAGCATCCTTGAGGACTGTGCAATTTGTAAACAAAATATAGCTATCATAATTAGAAATTTAGTGTCTGAGAATTATGTGTAAGAAAAATCAAGTATCCTTATTGCAAGAGAATGAACGTCACAGGTAAACGAAAAGCTAACTTCAGTTTTAAATACCTTTATGTTGTCATTTGACAATTAGTGAAAGCAAGTTTAGCAGAACTTATCTGTTTTGTTTCAATAAATGGCTGCATTAAAGTGGTTGATAATGCTCTGTATGTCTAATTATTCTGAGATTTAGGAAGGGAGTCCCCTGCTATTTGTGAGTTTTAATGAAAAATATAATCCATTAAAAATAAATCAATGACCTTCTAAATATTTATTTAAAATGCATACACTTAAATGTAGTAAGATAGAACATGCAAACACTTGATTAAATTAATGATTGCATGCAGTACTTTGTTCTGAACACAAGGAGGAGACAGATAGTGCTGATTTCCCTGATAAGGGGCAATACTAAATTTTGTTCATGATCTGTAGCACCTTCATTTAAGACGAGGAAGAAAGTGATTCATGCAGCTAAAAACTTGTAAGCTTGATTTCAGAAGTGTCTAAAGTTCTAGATTATAACTTGAGAAAGGAAGCAATTAAAGGTATG